ATTTTGTATGTAATATTTGTGTATAAACAAAAATTGGCATTGATATCAAATGACTTACTATGAAACATAATTATCATATCATGAAAACCAAGAAAATGAAAAAAAAAAATGGAAGAAAACAGTAAATATGTTGAATTTCTGCAAGCAGCAGTGCTCCATGTTGCCGTCAGGTGATCGCCAAGTGCCAACTTCGCGGCCTCATACCTCGGTAAGTACTGACCCTAATTTTTTTTTTTATGCTATAACACTTAAAAAAATGTGCCCTTTTTTCTATATAAAAAAAAAAAGATTTTTTTTTTTTTTCAAAATATTCAGGGCGCTGCACGAGTGAACGTATATATACGTTTGGACCGTTTAAGGGTTAAAAGAAGAAGGGAAGTAACCCCGGAAAAGGACTTGCTACCTTAAGTCCTAATGAAAGGGGATTCCCCTTCTTAACAATAACTTCCACACACTCCCCTCCTCCCATCCCATCAATCATCACCAGATCTTCAATAAAGGTGTCATGTATTCTATTCTTAGTAGAGTAGTAGTTGTGCATGTCCTCTTCAGTTTGTGTATATTAAAATTAATATTTCATGTGGTAAAAATATTTTTTTTTCATACTTTGGGGTGTCAGAAATGGATTAATTTGATTTCCATTATTTCTTATGGGGAAAATTAATTCGGCTAATGATAATTTCGGCTTATGACGAGCTCTCAGGAACGGATTAATATCATAAGGCGGGGGTCCACTGTAAATGTTTCATAACATGTTTGCACTATCATATTAAGTTAGCAATAGAACTAGACATTAAAAATAATATAAAAGTAAAATACACATACAGTACACTCATTACTTACCTTAAAATATTTGTAGTCTTAATGAAGGGATTCAGGGAAACCGGTTATTTTTATACAGCCGGACTTGAGTCCTGGAAATGGGAAATACAATGCCTGCACTCTAAAGGAGGGGTTTCGGGATATTAGCAGTTTGGAGGGATACGTTGTGTATCTTTACACGTATATGCTTCTAAACTGTTGTGTTCTGAGCACCTCTGCAAAAACAGTGATTATGTGTGAGTGAGGTGAAAGTGTTGGGGAATTTCTTTCTTTTTTGGGTCACCCTGCCTCAGTGGGAGATGGCCGACTTGTTGAGGAAAAAAAAAAAATGTAGGGTGAGAGGTGAGTACATGTATTTATTGTAGAAAGTCAGGTGTGGTAGCTTGCCTGGCTACCACACCTACATAAAATATACGACATTTAAAGTGCCCCAGGGCGATGATTATTATTATTAGTAGTAGTAGTATTATCATCATCATCGATATACCTGAGTTTTATCATTTCTAACAGTTACCCTTAGATGCCATTGCAAAGAAGACAGAACAAGTAAACGAGAGACGAGGAGAATATAAACAAACAGACGAACGTGTATTAATTCCTGCCCGTTTACAGTTCATACACGTTGATTTTGCATACGTTTGTGAAGCTTTTACCACAATACAAACACCTTACATTGTGTACAAGTTGTCTTCACATTGGTGCAGTAGAATAAACAGCACCACCCCAATTCTCATGCAACACACCATTTTTAGAGTGAATGACAATGACAGTTATCCATTTTCTAGTTACAAATTTTCTCTGGTGTTGGAATAGAGAAAATGTAATTCTTTCCATCACCCTACAAGCTGCCTGGCAACCACATCTCATATTTATGTCAATTTCTTCTGATGTGGGTATGTATTATTTTTACATGTTATGTAATGCATTTCTTATATAATTTTAAAAAATTATCAGAGATACCCCAGACCAATTATTATTATTATGGTATTTTCAAAACTAGTGAGAAACTCTTAGTGATTTTAATGTACACCTGCATGCCAGCACAGTGTGTAAATTTATTTAGGTACAGGTACACAAAAGTATAATTATCAGAGTACAGTGGACCCCCGCATAACGATTACCTCCGAATGCGACCAATTATGTAAGTGTATTTATGTAAGTGCGTTTGTACGTGTATGTTTGGGGGTCTGAAATGGACTAATCTACTTCACAATATTTCTTATGGGAACAAATTCGGTCAGTACTGGCACCTGAAACATACTTCTGGAGTGAAAAAATATCGTTAACCGGGGGTCCACTGTATATATAAAATATGCAGTAACTTTTAAACACTTCAAATTTTGGAAAGTTTCCAGCCAGACATAATCGAGAGATGCCGAGCTCATGGAGGATGTAAACAGACAGACTGGCACGCGGATGCCATAATAGCAAATCTGGGAGGGAGCCAAATGAACGAATTTTGATCATAATTTGAAATGTTCGTATTAGTGAATCACAGTAAAGCAGGGCCCTCCTATACAGTAAAACTTCTCATTAATGTATAATGGCAATTTAAAAAAAAAAAAAAAAAAAAAAAATGGCCAAGCAAACACTCTAATTATCAGATTAAATGAACAAAACTCAGTAATTCTGCATTCTATCCACAGTGATAGTGTCTGCCTGTCTTCCGATGAATCAGGCCAAGTCCGCTAACTCTGATGTTTATCTGTTATGAGCCAAAGCAGCCACGTCCAGGACCTATCCATTTTCATTGTTCCCTGAGCCATAGGACACCTGCAGCAGTACAATAAATTCTTACCTAATGTCATCAATGGGTTCTTGGAAACTGTGACTAAGTGAAATGGCGTATAACAAAACCAATTTTACCATAGGCTAATTGATATCAACATTGGGGTGCATACTGCATCTAACACTCATTGCAACAGGGTTAAATCATAGAATAAATGTTTGCAAAGTAAAAATTGTAAGGAGCCCCTTCTACTGCTGTGCAGTTCAAAACCAAACAATAACAAATATGGCAGGGCGCACTTGCACTCATACACACATCCATACTTAGACACACCAATTAACCTAACATGCACATCTTTGGGATGTGGGAGGAAACCAGAGTACCCTGAGAAAACCCATATAGACATGGGGAGAACATACAAACTCCACAGAGTGGGGCCCTGGCCATGGATCGATTTTTTTTCTCATTATAACAAAGTGACATTGAAAAAAACGACGTTAAGTCAGGACTTACTGTATACTGTTTTTGGTCATACACATACACTTGTCTTTCAGTCTCTATTCTTCCCTGGATTTAGAGCAGTTTATATGACTTTATTAACTTGTTAACCCTTTGACTGTTTTGGTCATATATATGCATCTTACGAGCCACCATTTTTGACGTATACGTGTATATCCTCATAAATTTTAGCAGTTTCAAATCAAGCAGGAGAAAGCTGGCAGGCCCACATGTGAGAGAATGGGTCTGTGTGGTCAGTGTGCACCATATAAAAAAATTTCTGCAGCACACAGTGCATAATGAGAAAAAAAAAACTCCGACTATTTTTTTTATTAAAATGCAGACTTTATGGTCTACTTTCGTATAGTGTTTATGGTTGTATTCTCGTTTTCTTGGTCTCATTGATAGAATGGAAAACATACTATAGAAATAGAGGTGATTTTGATTGGTTTTACTATGAAAAGAACCTTGAAATGGAGCTCAAAGTAGAGGAAATGTTTGATTTTTGCCGATCTTCAAAAGTAAACAAATGATGTCATTTTCCAATAAATGTCCAAGTAGCCATTCTAATATGCAGTCATGAATGGGTTGACATTATTTATACAATTATTACAATATTGCAGTAGTCTGCATAACAGTAAATCTATTTTTTGTTTGAATAAAAATTCAAAATAGAAAGTAGGAGTAATATCAGAGGGACCTGGAGACGTGACTGATGAACAAAGAAAATGTTATTTTAGAGCCAGGAATGTCTGCATTGTTCATTCTGGACCCTATTTTGAAATTGTCATACAGTATTTTTTAATTTTCATGAAATTGGCCAAATTGCAAATTTCTGACCACGTTATTGGGTAGATGAAATCAATAAAGGGGCAGTTTCTTGTACTCAATCGAAAGAAAAAATTGAGCTCTAAAGAAATAGCTGAGTTTGGTCGACTGGAACAATGGAATTAGCTGAAAATAGGCCTATGCTCAAAGTGGGCAAAATCACCGATTCGTAAATATTGCCAAGGTCGCTAACTTTGCAAGAGCATAATTCCATCAATTTTCATTCTTTTGGTGTCATTACAATCAGGAAAAGATTCTCTATCATTTCATAAGAAAAAATATATTTTTTTTGGGGGGGGGGGGGAGGGGGGGGGAATTTTGCGACACCAGGAGACACCTCAGGATTTGGGGTTGCGACAGTCAAGGGGTTAAATACAATTAATCAGGGCTTCTCAAGCAAGATATAGTGCCAACATAAATGTGAATTAATAGAGATTGAGTCAGGTATCTCAGTGGCAAGGGTATGTGAAATCTACATCTTCTCATCCCTATACATCTTCCCGGCCAACTACAGGACATCTTTCCAGCCATCTACATTATTTAAGAGCTTTACAGTTCTTCTCAGAATAAAAGTTATTCTGAGCCACCACTATCAATCACAGTTTATACCACATCTCTCCATCATGAAAAATTAAGGAAAATTATTGTAAATTAAAGAGTACAATAAAATTGCTATTCAATTCTGTACAGTATTGCAGTACTATAGGTTACAGTACTCATATTCTTGGTGTTTGGTTGTCTTCTACAGCAGAACAAGTCCAAGTCTACTACTTCAGAAGGCAACCAGATGACCATGAAATATTAATTTCATAATTCAGGAGTTGTGGACAATCTTGTCTTATACAACAATGCAGTAGTACCTCCCTCAATGACTGCTCCCTACCAACCTAACCAGAGGTTAGGCTGGTAGGCAGAAATGTCTGGACAAGACAAGCATGGTACATAGGGGGAAAAAATCAAAGGGAGTTTAGTTATTGGAACTAGAATACATTTCAGTGATATAAGCAAATAAAATATTCTATTCACTTCTAGTAGAATTCAGTAACAGTAAACTTTGCAAGTGGAATTTACAGATACCAAATACTGCAACATTGGAATAGTAACTATTAAAATTTGCACGTACCTTGCCATACTGACTGAAGAAACGCTTAAGATCTTTTTTGGTAGTATTTATACTAACATTTCCAACAAATATTGTTCTTCCTGCCTTTGCCAAATTAGACTGTTTGTAAATAGTTGCAGTAGTAGTGCTTCCATTGGTCGTATTATCTGTTAATGAAGGGTTTGATGCAGGAGTGCTTTCATTCTCAATATGTTTCCTCTTTTTTTTTTTCTTTATCTTTTTCCTTATTATATCATCATTTGGTAAACTTTGTGCATCTTCTGTAACATTTGAATTATCAGTTGCTTCCTCTGATTTAAATTTTCGCTTCTTGCCCTTGGTGGCTTTTTTAGCTGGAGATCCTTCAGCCATATGTATGTCTTCATTCTCTTGAACATTCTGGGTATAATTTTCCTCTGTGGTGATGGTGGGTGTATTATTGTTAGAAGCATCATCTATGGGTGTGGCTGTGTTTTGATTTATATTCTTCTTCTTCTTTTTTTTCACATTCTTTTTGAGGATAGATGATGTACCATTGAAGGCTTCTGACACATTCTCTACTCTCACAGCCTGGCCTAAAGCCTCTTTCTTATTCTTCTTCTTCTTCTTCTTCTTCTTTTTGAAAATTTCTGTGTTGGGATGCCTGAAAATAAGAAACTAATATTATAAGGGACATACTTCCAAAAATTTAAGAATGAAGAATCAATTATGCTGAAGTGAGACTGAAACACACAATATCTCCCCCTGCTTCCATATTAGATAAATCCCAAAACAAACAAATCATCTTCTTTCAACAAACCAGCCGTATCCCACCAAAGCAGGGTGGCCCAAAAGAAAAATAAAAGTTTCTTATTTTAACTTTAGCAATGTATATAGAAGGGATTACTAGCCCCTTGCTCCTGGCATTTTTAGCCCCCTCTTATGATATGCATGGATTATGGGGGAAGAATTCTGTTCCACTTTCCCATGGAGATGAGAGGAAATAAACAAGAACAAGAACTATATAGTAAGAAAATAGAAGAAAAACCAGAGGGGTGTGTGTATATATATGCTTGTACATGCAAGTGTAGTGTGACCTAAGTGCAAGTAGAAGTAGCAAGATGTACCTGAAATCTTGCATCTTTATGAGGCAGAAAAAGATACCAGCAATCCTACCATCATGTAAAACAATTACAGGCTTCCGTTTTACACTCACTTGGCAGGACGGTTGTACCTAATCGTTTTTTCTGACCACATGTGAGATAAATCTTAAGCAATTTTGGATCAGACATTAAAATACTTACCAAAATCAGTGACCATTTGTTTGGTCACTATATTAATTTCAGATCACTGTGGTCACCAATACTGCAGTAACAAACAGGCATCAAAATTCTACACTAGGGTCATAAGTACATCAATCAGTAAGCACATACAAGACTTCCCTGACTAACTCCACTAACACACCCACACTGCCAATAAACCTTGTTGTCCCTGAAATAAATATACCTGACCCCTTCCTTTTCTTCATACTGTATACGTGTATACAAAAAAAATCTTCCTACTATAAACTTACAACCAATACTTTTTTGCTGAATTCAATTACTGTACAACCTTCACCTCCTTGAGCTCTGTTGCCCATTAGGTTGTATATTCCTTTTGAATGGAAATTATAGGCTATTTAATATATGTCATTATCTCCATATTTAATTTTGTGAGGTTGCTGCCTAGTACTGTCAGAGCAAAATAACAAGGAATTATCACTTTTCCAGTCTGTATGTGGTATTTTCTGACCACAAAGTTTATGGTAATGGAACATGCATCAACTTATGGCATAACCAGCATTTCTCGTTTTGTAGTTAGGTGTATATATTTATTGAGCTAGTTTTTTTTTCAGATTAGGGCCACATTCAGACATTCTTGCAATAGTCTCAATTTTTGCATTTAAGTTATGTGGAATACAGCAGGCCAAAAATAACTATAAATTATGTGTTTCAGGTTTGGGGACTTCAATTTTGGCAGTTCTCCTTTACCTACTACTGAGAGAGGTTTGGCTACTAGTCATCTTTTTGTGTAATGATGTACAAAATTAGGTTTCATAATTAAAGTACTGGTTATTTCATTCTACTCTATTTACACTTATCCTATATATTTACAAGATTGCTAAATTAGGCTAAGGAACTACTATCCAACAAGTGGTATTTTAACAAGCTCTGACACCATCACATTGAGCTAGGACCAAATTAAAGAAGCACTTATAAAATCCATCATAATTACATTTTTACTGTCCCTTTAATTCTGAACAGGATCTTAATCACCTTGGACTACTGTACCATATTGCCAGCTATATAAAATCATCAAACCACCTCCATGCAAACACTACAGACTGCTTTACCCAACCAATAAAATGACTGATATCTGAAACAAAAAGCATCCACAGATGAACCATAACCATCCATCTCAGCTCAATAACCTCATCTCACTCACCCTATACATTAAAATCAACTTTCCTCTACAGCAACATCCACAGATTAACCACACTCTTCAACATTGAGGTCAATAACCTAATTACCCTCACTCTCTACATAAAACTTCCTCCTTTTCTACATATTCTCCTCATCTCTACATTCTACAGATTCCCTCACCTCTATTGCATATTCCATCACGATCTACATGATAGTCCCCTCACCCTCTATATGATAAATCAGCTTCAAAAAGTCTGCATGGCAAACTCTTAAGAATGTACTTTCTGTACATGCATTAACTGTCTGAGAATCTAGCCCTACTGTTAACCGTAGGGTTTTTCAAGAATGAACTATATTATGTTACTTGAAAGTCTACTATTAACTAACAAAGCATTCTTAACTGCATCTAGAGCCAAATACTGTAATTGTATGTTTGTGGCAAATTGTACAAATTATCTTCAGTACATTGCACAATATTTTCTTATTCATTGAAGTGCTGCCAAAAGGAAATTAGTTGCTCACCTATACAGTATTCTTGGGGAAGAAGGGGGAGATATGGAGATGGAATTTGTCCCTTATGTGATAGCAAATAACATGCATTATATAAAAATATGATCATATAAACAATGAATAATATTAGTGCTGTACATTGCAATTTTACTTTGTGAAGATATGCAGTCCTTAGGCCTGATGACATAGGTAGATGAAAACTCACAGCACCCAAATACTTACATTACACAGGTAATACAGTTGTGGAATCTTCAAAAATTATGAACCAATTAAGTGTTTGTTTTATTACATATATCATTAGCAAACAATTTTCATGCCTTGGTACCTATTTACATGACAATATAATGTACAGAAAATTATGATAAACTTGTATGTAAAGTTTAAGTAGTTCAATAATAAAGAATGGAGGATCAAGCCTTCATTCTCTGCACTGAATGACCTACACTGGTTTAGCTCATCATGAAATAAACATCTTTATTTACTGACTTCTTCTAACCACAACATACTGTACAGATCACAAATAATACTGGTTTCACTTTTATTGTTGTTTTGTATAATCTTATACTATACAATGGTACTAATGTTCTTTTTGCATAAAGCAACATGCATTACATGTACTTTGTTATATCTACCAGTGTGGCCGACATACAAATCTCATCTATACTTAACATAATTCTTTTTAGCTAATACTGAGGAAACCATACTGGCTTGACACTTCATGATATACAACAGCACTGTATATTAAATTCAAAATGATTCACTAAAATAGAAGATTCTCACATTACTAAGAAAATTACACATGATCAACACCTCTGATAGAGGGATCCCTGCCTGCCTGGCATCTATACCTGCTCTCTAACTAGGACTAACTGATGGCCTGGTCAGACTGCAAAATTCTTAAATCAACACAGCTCATTGTGTACTGTACTTGCATCCAAAACAAGAGTTGTATAGTTCAAAAATGTTCATGGAAATAGAAGAGGGCAAAGAGAATAGGGTGGTGGCTGCTCCAATACAGTATTGTTGACAACAAAAGAGTAAGCTAAGAATCATCTGCCTTGCAAAGCACATATACATATGTAACATACATGATCCAAATTGGCATATATGTGGGATAATTATTATAACTTTGATGAGTTTCGAATTTTTCTATTCCCAGAGCCCGGTCATGGGCTAGGCTCATCTGGTGCTTGCTTGGTGTACCAGGCTGTTGCTGCTGGTGGCCTGCTGACCCACATATCCATTATTATTATTATTATTATTATTATTATTATTATTATTGGGAAGCATCAAACCTGGGAAGTGAGAATAAGAAGCAATCAGTTTTAATCCAAGAAGTAAAGATCAGCTCTTACTTCCTGGATCAAGAGACCTTAATCAGAATCACAGCACCTCCCCTAAAACAAAGGAAGCAATTAAACATAAAAACCAGGCAAGCATGTTCCATGCAGTATAAGGTAGAACCATAATAAATAATTCCAGCTTTTCACTTACTTGGCCACCTGGAGAGACATGCCCTTCATCTTTTTATTCTTAACCATCTTCAAGATGTGTTAAACTGCAGGGGGTTTTCTCTGCAGTGTGACCCTGATTTTGAATGCTAGCTTGTAACAAACAGATATACTATATCTGAAAAAACAAGGAGTTATGAACTATAACAAAGGACCAAAAGCCTGTTACTGTAATTTCTACTTAAAAGCTATGGTGTTATCAACAGGTACTTGATCAAAATGTGCTGTAAATGGAGTAAGTACATGTACAACTACCTGCGAATGATGACAGATAGCCCGAAGACCCAAATGATAGAAAAAGTTTGTGGTAAAAGCTCAATTCTCATGAAAGAAACTACCTTTGATATACCTTTGAAAAGTTTCTCAAGTTTATCTACTCTCTGAGCCCGGCCATGGGCCAGGCTAGTCTGGTGCTTGCCTGGTCAACCAGGCTGTTGCTGCTGGAGGCCAACTGCCCCACATATCCATCACAGCCTGGCTGATCTGGCACGTGGTGAAGATACTTGTCCAGTTTCCTCTTGAAAGCTTCTACACTTGTTCCAGCAGTGTTTCTGATAGCTTCTGGGACCCCGGATGTTGATACAGTGTTCCCTTATTGTCCCCACTGCACTCCTGCTCCTCACTGGGTTTATTTTACACTTCCTCCCATATCTCTCACTCCAGCATGTTGTTATGGCAGTCTGCAGATTTGGGACCAAGCCCTCGAGTACCTTCCATGTACCTCTCTCTCCTCCGCTCCAATGAGTACATGTTCAAGACCTGCAGGCGCTCCCAGTAGTTTAGGTGCTTTACTGGCTCAATGTGAGCCGTAAACGATCTCTGCATTTGTTCCAGCTCCGATATTTCTCCTGCCTGTAACGGGGCCATCAGCACTGAGCAATATTCTAAGTGAGGGAGCACTAGCGATTTAAAGAGTGTCACCATCGGCAATATTTCCCTTGTTTTGAAAGTTCTCAATACCCACCCCATCATTTCCTGGCTGTCGTGATCTTTGTCTTGTTATGGTCTTTAAAAGAAAGGTCCGCTGACATAATTATTCCTGGGTCTTTTACATGTTCCTTACGTTCTATTTGGTGACCTCTCTTGAGTTTTGTATATAGTGCTCCTTTTGAGTTCTTCATTCTTTCCATACCTAAGCAGCTGGAACTTATCACCACTGAACATCATGTTCTCCACTGCCCACTGGAAAACCCTGTTTATGTCTTTCTGTACTTTTTCAGTGTCCTCTAACATACTGACTTTCATGCTTATTTTAGTGTCATCTGCAAATGATGATACAAGTACATAGTACAAGTACATAGTATGTCTGCTATGAAGATGAGAAACAGCAGAGGTGCCAGAACAGTGCCTTGGATAAAATCACATTTCCTTCCTGGAAAGGAAAATGGTAAGACTGAAGACAAACTATGGAAGGAGGAATGAGAGGCTTTAGAAAGGCAGTTGAATTCCCTCCATGAGGAATTGGTGGCAGTATGTAACAAAGCCAGGGAACAGGCCAGAGAACAGGTATATAGGACTAACTCAGCAAAAGACAGACCCCTAAAACTGAAAGAGGAAGTCCCATGGCCTGGTAGGCAATGCTCTCGCCTCACACACCGTGTCTGTGGTTTGATCCCCAGTAAGTGTGGAAAAATTGGGCATGTTTCCTTACACCTGCTGTCCCTGTTCACCTAGCAAGGAAGTAGGTACCTGGGTGTTAGTCGACTGGTGTGGGCTACATCCTGAGGGATAAGATTGAAGGACCCCAATAGAAATAAGACAGATTCCTCAGTGATGCACTGACTTTTTTGGGCTATCCTGAGTGGCTAATCCTCCGGCTGAAGGAGACCATGAGAGAAAGGTTAGTAAGTTTACTGAGGTATACACAAATACAGTTACTGATTATCATACATAGTAGCATATGTGTAGAGAACCTAGGTAACCCAAGGAAGTCAGAGAGTGACTTATTTTCATTGAGGCAGAAACAGTGAAGGAAGGAGAGGGAGCTGAGAGGGTAAGAGAACAGTGTATATATATATGTATACATCTATAGTTAGTATAGCTCTATGTCGATAAACAATTTCCACAACAGTTAAGTGTGCTTCCTGCACAATTACATTAATTTCGGAAGCTTGCGACATATTGCTATATTCTGCATAACAAGGAGCTTTAAGTAATTTATGCATTACAATTACTCCAGTCATATGCATCCTGGACTCCATTTTATAAAGTTTTTGTTTATGTTTAACAATAACCTGCAAGGTATTTTAGGTTCGGTCCAAGAGACAAGGTTTATCATCCTTGGATCAAGATCCTCCCTCCACCACACCAGCATCAAGCGACATCTCATGAAAAATGGGGGTTAATTAGGGATGCTCAGAGGAAGAGCAAAGCATCTTAAATATCCTTGGATCAAAAGCTTCTCAGCATCAAGAAAATGCATGCTAGTTCTAAACACAAACTCTAAGATAATGTATTAAACTATCAAATACACTTGTAAACACACCTTCGTATATGCCCACCCTACAGAAAAAACTAGTTAAATAAAGAATTTACAACAAATACTTAAATATATGAGACGCTGTATACCGCATGCGTCTCGCTGTCTTCACTGTTGCCAAGTGGAAGTCTAACTTAGAGTTACCAATTATACTGTTGCCTAAGTCGCTTAAAAACCGCTAAACTTTTGTGATTAAAAGTTAAAAAGAAAGCACCAAAGCTAAATTTACAAAATTATATACAAATGGTACAAAATACCACTGCGATGCATTGCTCTTGTCGATGTGTTGGCGATTAATGTAGATCTGCTAAATTTCAATAAGCAAGTAAGTAAGTAAGTTTATTCAGGTATACACAAGTACAGTTACATAGAATTGTCATACATAGCAGCATGTGTGTAGAGAACCTAGGATAACCCAAAAAAGTCAGACAGAGTGACTTATTTCCATTGGGGTCCTTTTACCTTATTATTATAATATAAAGGTTATAATATTTTCTTATTATTCTACTAACATCCCATACCATAAAAATCTTTGAAAGGGTCCTAAGAAGCAAGATCACCACCCATCTAGAAACCCATCAGTTACACAACCCAGGGCAACATGGGTTTAGAACAGGTCGCTCCTGTCTGTCTCAACTATTGGATCACTACGACAAGGTCCTAAATGCACTAGAAGACAAAAAGAATGCAGATGTAATATATACAGACTTTGCAAAAGCCTTCGACAAGAAGAAGTTGATATCCTTGGGGTGAAATTTGACTCCAAACTAACCATGAAGAACCATGTTGTAAATCTTGCAAACAAGGCAGCCAGGAAGCTTACAGCACTTCGCCGTATCTCGCATCTGCTTGACAGTAGGGGTTGCAAGATACTGTACGAGGCACAAGTACGCTCACACCTTGAGTATGCTCCACTTTCTTGGTTTGCCTGTCCCCCCCCTCTCATCTGCGACTGCTTGACAGAGTAGAGAACAGAGCAAGACGTCTCATCTCTCGCCTGGACCCATCCTGGATGGATCTGTCATTTCAGCAGAGCCTTCAACATAGGAGGGAGTGGGTGGCCTTACTGTTATGTACAAGGCCAATATTGTCAAAATACCACACTTGGATCCACTTCGAGGACAGCGCGAAACAAGCTTTTATGCCACAAGACGGGCAGAAAGCAGCAACTTCACTCTGGCTGTACCCTTCTCCAGAACATCACTCCATCTGAGATCATACATACCCAGGATGACTCGAGTATGGAACACATTCGTTCAGCATAATGATGTCAACGAGATAACGTCAGTTGATCAAATGAAAATGCTGGCCCACAGATGGCTCCAACTTCATCCTGTTCCCTACTTGTATGTCTCATAACAATAAAAATGCTTTCAAATGAGCTGATGTAGGTAACAGCTCTTAGCTTGTCAATAAAGGTAGGAATCCTTAACCTGTAAATAGCTTGTCAATAAAGCTAGGATCCTTAACCTTGTCAAACCATGTGTAAAAAAAAAAAAAAAAAAAAAAAAAAAAAAAAAAAAAAAAAAAAAAAAAGTGTGACCATGGCGTAATAGCGCACAAAATGCGTGCTAAAGGAATAACAGGAAAAGTCGGTCGATGGATCTATAATTTCCTCACTAACAGAACACAGAGAGTAGTAGTCAACAGAGTAAAGTCCGAGGCAGCTACGGTGAAAAGCTCTGTTCCACAAGGTACAGTACTCGCTCCCATCTTGTTCCTCATCCTCATATCTGACATAGACAAGGATGTCAGCCACAGCACCGTGTCTTCCTTTGCAGATGACACCCGAATCTGCATGACAGTGTCTTCCATTGCAGACACTGCAAGGCTCCAGGCGGACATCAACCAAATCTTTCAGTGGGCTGCAGAAAACAATATGAAGTTCAACGATGAGAAATTTCAATTACTCAGATATGGTAAACATGAGGAAATTAAATCTTCATCAGAGTACAAAACAAATTCTGGCCACAAAATAGAGCGAAACACCAACGTCAAAGACCTGGGAGTGATTATGTCGGAGGATCTCACCTTCAAGGACCATAACATTGTATCAATCGCATCTGCTAGAAAAATGACAGGATGGATAATGAGAACCTTCAAAACTAGGGAGGCCAAGCCCATGATGACACTCTTCAGGTCACGTGTTCTATCTAGGCTGGAATATTGCTGCACACTAACAGCACCTTTCAAGGCAGGTGAAATTGCCGACCTAGAAAATGTACAGAGAACTTTCACGGCGCGCATAACGGAGATAAAAACACCTCAATTACTGGGAGCGCTTGAGGTTCCTAAACCTGTATTCCCTGGAACGCAGGAGGGAGAGATACATGATTATATACACCTGGAAAATCCTAGAGGGACTAGTACCGAACTTGCACACGAAAATCACTCACTACGAAAGCAAAAGACTTGGCAGACGATGCACCATCCCCCCAATGAAAAGCAGGGGTGTCACTAGCACGTTAAGAGACCATACAATAAGTGTCAGGGGCCCGAGACTGTTCAACTGCCTCCCAGCACACATAAGGGGATTACCAACAGACCCCTGGCAGTCTTCAAGCTGGCACTGGACAAGCACCTAAAGTCAGTTCCTGATCAGCCGGGCTGTGGCTCGTACGTTGGTTTGCGTGCAGCCAGCAGCAACAGCCTGGTTGATCAGGCTCTGATCCACCAGGAGGCCTGGTCACAGACCGGGCCGCGGGGGCGTTGACCCCCGAAACTCTCTCCAGGTAAACTCCAGGTACAATGAAGATAACATCTTATTATCATACTAAAAAGACTATCTACTACACCAAGGTCATTAATAAGACTATCTACAATACGAGGGTCATTACTAGGAATAAGGTAAAATTTACACGTATGTTAGCTAAAAAATAGAAAATCATTCCCCTCCCTTTCTGTAGCTACATTCATCAGACACCTTTTGGCACTCTTCTTGAACTGGTTCATGCTATGACTGGCTTTGACATGTGCGGGCAGTCTGTTCCATTCCTTTATTGCTGTACAATAAAAGGTGTTTGAAGCCTGGCCACTGACTGTGGGTACTATCTCTCATTAGTAAGTTAAGTAATAATAATAATAACAATAATATCTTTATTTATACAAGTACATGTACAAGGTGTACAGTCCTAGCTGACATCAATGATACACTACTATGTAGAAAACCGCTTGTTATACAGAGCATTTTGGGCAAATTAGGGCAGTTTTGTCCCAGGATGCGACCCACACCAGCCAACTAACACCCAGGTACCCATTTTATTGATGGGTGAACATGGACAGAAGGTGTGTTATAGAAACACGTCCCTAATAATGTTTTCCAGCCGTACCGGGGATTCAAACTCCGGACCTCAGTGTGTGAGTTGAGTTATTCAGCTGCACCATTTGCAGTTTTGTACCATATGGTCCATGATAAATCCGGCAGTGGAAAAATTGTGGTACCCCCCTTCTCTTGATACCCTAGGCTCATGATTATTTTGATTAATGGTTAATCCACCCCCAGGTACACATAAATACAGTGGCCCGGTGGCCTGGTGGCTAAAGCTCCCGCTTCACACACGGAGGGCCCGGCGGGTGGAAACATTTCGACACGTTTCGTTACACATGTCCTGTTCACCTAGCAGCAAATAGGTACCTGGGTGTTAGTCGACTGGTGTGGGTCGCATCCTGGGGGACAAGATTAAGGACCCCAATGGAAATAAGTTAGACAGTCCTCGATGACGCACTGACTTTCTTGGGTTATCCTGGGTGGCTAACCCTCCGGGGTTAAAAATCCGAACGAAAACTTATCTTACAGTCACATTAATTATCATACATAGCAGCATATGTGTAAATTACCTAGGATAACCCAAAAAAAAGTCAGGCAAAGTGGCATTATCCTATCTTAGTGTGTGTACCAATTCCTTGTTGTGACTTCCTTCCAGTTGCTTCAAGATACAGTAAGTTTATGAAAATGGCACACACTCAACCCCCTGCAACCACAAATGGATGAGTAAACACACACAGTGATGTAGTGGAGGCAGGATCCCTACATAGCTTTAAGAAGAGGTATGACAAAGATCATGGATCCAGAAAAGTGACCTAGTAGCGACCAGTGAAGAGGCGGAGCCAGGAGCTCTGAATCGACCCCTATAACTACAAATAGGTGAGTACACGCACACACACACGCACACAAATAGGTGAGTACACACACACACGCACACAAATAGGTGAGTACACCCACACACACGCACACAAATAGGTGAGTACACACACAAATAGGTAAGTACACACACACACAAATAGGTAGGTACACACACACAAACAAATAGGTAAGTACACACACAAAAATAGGTAAGTACACACACAAAAATAGGTAAGTACACACAAAAATAGGTAAGTACACACACACCCACACACAAATAGGTAAGTACACACACACAAATAGGTAAGTACACACACAAACAAATAGGTAAGTACACACACACACACAAATAGGTAAGTACACACACACAAATAGGTAAGTACACACACAAACAAATAGGTAAGTACACACACACACAAATAGGTAAGTACACACACACAAATAGGTAGGTACACACACACAAATAGGTAAGTACACACACAAACAAATAGGTAAGTACACACACACAAATAGGTAAGTAGACACACACAAATAGGTAAGTACACACACAAATAGGTAAGTACACACACAAATAGGTAAGTACACACACACCCACACACAAATAGGTAAGTACACACACACACAAATAGGTGAGTACACACGCACGCACACACATAAGTACACATACATAAAGCTCTTAGAGCTTTGAAAGTGAACCTAGTAACGACCAGCGAATTTATTATTATTATTCTTTGTCTGTGTGCCTAATGGTTCATCAGCTTTCTTGTGTCTTTCAGTGTCTCTGAACATTTGAAATACTTACAAAAACATATTGTAATCTCATATTTTCATTTACCAGTTTTCAATCTGATTCCCTGAGTCACTGGGCTCTGAATATAGTAAGTAAGTTTATTCAGGTATACACAAATACAGTTACATAGAATTATCATACATAGCAGCATATGTGTAGAGAACCTGGGATAACCCAAAAAAGTCAGACAGAGTGACTTATTTCCATTGA